TCGTTCTCAACCGAATGCCCTGATGACTCCTGGTCATCATCGTATGCGCGTAGTCGACAGAAGACCGTTGCACCAATCAGAATGTCCACGGACCACCGCGCTAACGAACCAGCGGCAAAAACCCTGAGGCGATTAACTGAGTTCATATTTCTTATGACTGGTTGTTTATTGTATTCTGTTTACCTCGAACAACGGTGAGGTACGCGGTATCGCAGCCGCATTATGTCAGTGTGTGCTTGTAAACCAAAGGCCGCCATTGCCTTCCACATGGAGGGTTCGTTTGCCGACCTGCCGAACAGTGGCAGTTACCTCCCAACCTCTAAGTGGTTATGACTGTCAGTCAAGATTGTATGATAATTCATTAGAGCCATGCTGGCAGACGGTTCTGGGGTTGACGACGGGTCTTCATGGCTACCACAGTGATTAAAGTGGAGCAAGCTCCAACGTGGTTCATCCTCCTAAGCATCTCTTGATTCGGTTGTTGTCCGCTCTCCGCGACAAGAACGGGAGGATGATATATGTGGAACACACCGCGACGCTACGGGCTTTCAAATACAGCAGCTGCCAGAGCAATTCTGTTCATTTCCATGTCATAGGGTTGTCGTTCGTATGAACGGAACCGAGATATCTGCAGTGGTGTCTCAGCGCGAAGCAACATAGTTCTCTTCTCTTCTTTCTGTTTTCCTCATTACCTTTGTTTTCTTCAGATTGAGTCGAAGGTCTGCTCTTTTAGCGACGGTTTGGACCTCTTCTGTTCGTAGTCATAATCATCCTCCGGAATCGCTAAACGGTATGATGTCGTCTGTGTAATTGATGTCAGGTGAATGGCTGGATACTTTGACCTCCGTCTTCGACTCAACGTCAATTCTCTCATTAAAGGTTATCTGCATTTTGCCTCATCATCCTGTCAACCTACAAGACCGAAGAGCATTGGCGAAAACATGTCGCCTCGTCAGATAGTTATGGATTATGGAATACCGTAATATCGCAGGATCTTCTACATCGCTGAGCGATTAACTGTGTTAAACGCAGCTTTGAATTCAGTACAAGCTGTATACCACAGGAGTAGGTGTCTGCGACACTGCTCTACAGTTACGCGGAATGATCGTATATGATCACTGCGCGAATAGCTTTTCCTAAATTCCGTCTGATTTTCTGTCTTTCGTCCACTTCATTCTTCAGTCTTCTTTGAGTACTACACTGGAGGATCTCTCCAGGTGTTGCCCGCAAGGTTATTCCTCTCTAATTTACACAGTTTGACTGGCTTTCATCTTTGAAACCAGGAATGATAATTGCTTTCCTCACGGCAGTTGGTAGTTTGGAAGACGTCTAAATGCTCCGAAACATTTCATCCAAGACTTTCACTACATGGGTTCGACCAACTTCTAGCAGTTCGACTGGTATCTGCTCAAATTCAGGGGCATTTCCAATCTTCAGATGCCTAATTTCAAGGCTTATTTGAGTTTCGTACGCGGTTCTGTACGGATATTAAGTTCATAGTTCGGTTGCTGCGTAACTGTGGATGAGCTCACCTTGCCTTCAGCCACGTGTTTAACCCATTGCATCATGCTGAATGATCGCACAACGGTGTGCAGGTCTCTAAAAGGCTGTCCTTTCGCAAACGAGTCTACTCAAAAGTTTCGTTAGCAAGTGTTCCCCTAGATGAGATGGCAGATTCAGAGAAGGAAACAGTTACCTAAAATGACTTATTAAAGAAATAAGTTGTCTACGAACGTCTATCGAAATATTCCGAAATGCAGGTAAGAGGAAACATTCTTCTGGGTAAAGTCACTCAGGAGAATACACAGGTGCCTACAATTTTGCGATTTACTCTGCTCTTCTAGAATTAGATTAAAGGAGGCGAATAATTTGGATAATTATCTGAATTGCCTAATCGATACGTACCAATATGACAGTCCAACATACACCTCCATTTCTGCATATCTCCAGACGCACGAGCGGGACTCTTGGATATTGCTTGGCGAAAACAGTAAAGGAAACATCGGACTTGTAGAGGGTGGTCACCTATTTCATAGTGCATATGTGAGTTTTGAATAAGTGAATATCCAGTATGCTACGAGTTTCTACCAGTAAGCTAATTGTGACTTAAATATATGCTATACGTTGATGAAAGTGCCCTCTGCCAGCGGGCACTGCTGCACATATGTTGTATACCATATGTCCGCCTTCGTGCACAGCCATGTAGAGAGCAGCTCCGTGTCGATCAAGAGGGCGAATATGAGTGACTGAAATGGTGATTATGGCAATCTGTTATCTGACTTGTTCCTGCTATGGGTGCATCATGAACACAAGTCGAAGTTCCTCCAGCATTCTCCTTTTTCCGTATTCTGCCTCCACCACCGACTTCGACCAAGTAATTTCACCATCGGATCATTATATCGTGTTCTTGACGCTCTTCAACTCGACGTTTGTGGTCCAGCTGAACCCAGGCAATTGCTAACGTCTACTCGTTGCCTCACAGAGGAGGTACATGATGGATTCATTGTATCCTAGAGTCGTTGTAAC